TGAGGAAGGGGGGCCCTCCTTTTGCCCAAGCGCCTCTATTTCCCCACCAAGGGCCCAGGGAAGCTGCAGGCTCTTCCCGGTCCCCCTGATGCAGAGGGATCTGATTCCTGGCATTGGCCCATTTGGTCTTCAGGGCCCTGGGGCCCCCTCTGCCTCCAGAATCTCCTGGCAGGTCTCCCTGCTTCCCCACTCTCCGGGGATCACCTCCCAGAGATGCAGCTCTTTCCAGCTTCTCTCCTCTCAATCCAGGTGCCTCTGGCCACAGGGTAGAGCCCCAAATGACTCCATCCTCTCCCCAGCTGAAGACTTGAAAAGGCAGGCGAACCATGTGGAGTAGGGGTAATTGGGCCTGGAGAGGGGACAGCGAAGGATGGCCTTGGAAGGAGGCTGGTGACAAGCTCTTAAATGCTCATGACAACCCGAGGAGGCAGGTGAGATTAGCTCTGCTTAAGAGATGAGGACATAGGGGCTCCAAGCTGGACAAACCAGAATCTGCCCTTTGCTCTGTCTGTCTTGAAGTCCCTGCTGTTGATTGCTCACGAGGATGTTGTGGCTCACAAGGATGCTGACGAGCGGTCGCCGGCCAATAGTGCTGTGCTGCGGGCTGTGGGGGCAGAGGAGCCTAAACCTCTCTGGAAAACTGATGAAAGGGTGGTGGTGTCCCCTCATACGTTAGTGGAATCGTTCCTTTGCCACCTTCGTGGGCCCTTCGTGGACCCTTCGTGGACACATCCAGCAGTGAAAAATGCCTGTGGGTCAAGGCACACCTTCAGAGCTAAGGCCCTTAAAATAAGCCCCTATATTCAAGGAAACAGATGTCTCCCTCCTGTGGCTGCTGGCCTCTCCCCAGCACCTACTGTCCCTGCCGGTCAAGCCAGTGGTTTTGCCCTCTCCTACTGGAACCAGACAGGTGTAGGTTCAGATCCTGACTCTATCATTTGCTAGCTGTGTGACCTTGGGAAAGTCACTTGACCTCTCTGAATCTGAGTCTCTTTAGCATCATAACACTGATGTCAGAAGGTGGTTGTGAGAATTAGATGAGATTGTACAGTGAGCATCAGGGCTTAGAGCTCAGCACACAGAGCAGTTGCTTAATAAGTGTCAGCTTCGGGGCGCCTGGGTGGCGCAGTCGGTTAAGCGTCCGACTTCAGCCAGGTCACGATCTCGCGGTCTGTGAGTTCGAGCCCCGCGTCGGGCTCTGGGCTGATGGCTCAGAGCCTGGAGCCTGTTTCCGATTCTGTGTCTCCCTCTCTCTCTGCCCCTCCCCCGTTCATGCTCTGTCTCTCTCTGTCCCAAAAATAAATAAACGTTGAAAAAAAATTAAAAAAAAAATAAGTGTCAGCTTCTTGGGGCGCCTTAGTGGCTCAGTCAGTTAAGCATCCGAGTTCAGCTCAGGTCATGATCTCGTGGTTGTGAGTTTGAGCCCCTCATCGGGCTGTCTGCTGTCAGCACAGAGCCCGCTTTGGATCCTCTGTCCCCCCTTCTCTCTGCCTCTCCCCGCCTCTCTCAAAAATAAACATTTAAAATAAATAAATGTCAGCCTCTTTTCCAATAGGTCTGCCACCTATTAATGACGTCCTCTCAGCTACCCCTTGCCTTTCTCAAAAAGTCCCAGGGAACCTCTTCTGGGAGACCTTCCACAGTTTGTTCCTTGCAATGACTGTCACAATATGCTCGGGGTCCCCTAGACATTGAGGTGTTCAGTTTGCAGCTCTTGAATTAAAGCCATTTGTGTCTTACTCCACTTGTGTCTCATTCTCCTTTTTCTGTTAAAAGACACAAAATAATACTTACCTTACAAAGGTGCTGTGAAAATTAGGTTGGAAATAACTTGGGTTAAGTGCCCAGTACGGTGTGGGCACACAGCTGTCACTCAGTAACTGCACTGATGTTGGTGGGAGAGGGGAGTAGACTGCCTCCCATCAGGTTGAGTCCTCCCAGGCAGAGACTGCCTGCTCCCTGACTTTCTCAGCGCCAAGCAGAGGAAGTCCCCTCCCTGGAGGATTCAGGCTCTGGTGGGGAGAAGTCCTTCCCCTCTTACTTGATAGTCTCTCAGGACATTCCTCTTACGAACCTGGTAATTGTGCATTAACTATTGGTGAAGTGGTTACAGGTGTGGCTGGGGTAACGGTGGAGCTATTTAGGGATGATTTTCGTCCCTCTGATGAGGTTCCTCATTTGAGGTTAGGGGGTCAGTGGTCTACAAAATGTGGATCTCCTATTTCATCAACAAAGAGCATTTAGGCATCTAAAGGCTGAGCAGAGCAATCCCTAGGTGCATCCTGGGCTAGTACTTGGGCATTAGAGACACCTCAAGACCCCAGCCCAGATGTACCCCCTGATAGCATCTTGCTCATGCCAGCCCAGTCCCAAGGATGGTTACTTAGCCAAGTTGCATGACCCTGGGAAAAGGAGGCCAGCAAGGGCAAAGACTGGTGTCATGGGAAGCAATGTCATGGATGTCCCGGATTATGGCTCAGACACAACTGGCTGTTTGATTTTTTAATGAATTTCTAATTTCTCTGGGCTCCAGTGGGGATTTTATTAGATAAACTCCAAGGTCATCTGCAAATTTTAAAGTTCTGAATTTCTAGGTCTAACCTGAATCCCTCTTGCTGTATTTGGAAGCCAACAGAGACAATATTCTTGGTATATACACTTATACTTGGTAATAAGTGGCCAACATTGGGTGAGTCCTAGAAGGCTGTGGTTTTTAGTCTCTTTTTAAAAATGTTTATTTATTTATTTTGAGAGGGAGAGAGAGACAGACAGACAGAGAGAGACAGAGAGAAGGAAAGAGAGAGAGAGGCAGAGAGTGAGAATCCTAAGCAGGCTCTATACTTTCAGCACAGAGCCCGATGGAGGGCTCGATCTCAAGAACCATGAGATCATGACCTGAGCTGAAATCTAGTCGAACATGTAACCACCTGAGCCCCCCGGGCACCCCTTTAGTCTTTTATCGTAGAAGAGTTTTGATGGGATTGTATTCTAATTAAATATTTAATGCGGTGTATCTGCCTGTTAAAATCATTACCACCACCTTGGGGATGGGCCTCCTTTGTGTTCTTATTTGCAGCTTGTCTGTAAGTGACAGAGCTAAGAGCCGCTGAAAATCTGCTCTGTGAGATCCAGGGATCCAAGCGGGTTGTCCACAGGGCAAAGGAAGGTTTCAGGGCTCTGAACTTGCCTTCCTACTCCACTTCCTAGAGCCTGTTATGGTATCACAAGCAGGACCCAGGGAATGGGATCGACCCCATGTTTGGGGCTGCCCTTTATTCTGCCCAGCCCTCTGAGAGTTGGGGAGAGAATATGTGCTTTTTTTTTTTCCACGTTAATAAAACCCCAAATGAGTCTTCATTAAGGGCTCCATTAAGAAGCCACTGTTATTCTTGGCACTCATTAGCATTGCTGCTTACTGCTAAGTTTCCACACTGGTGCTTTCTCGGGGCTTCACAGGGCCCCCTCTCTATGCTGGAGGGCTGCTCTTGAGAGAGACCTCAACTGGCTGAATCTCAGAGGGAGGAGAATTTGGACTTCCCCAGTCTACCTCACCCATTCCCCTGTCTCTGGACGATGGCCTGTCAGATTTCTAGAGCCTCTCTTAGCAGCCTGTTGAAGGGGTTTGTAGATCTTGGTGGGAGTTTTTCCTCTTGTCTAACTTGCCTCTTTCACTGTAGTGTGAGCCAGTTTCCAACCCTTCCCTAGGATAATGAAGAGTATCTTTCTTTCTAAGAGCACCTTGCCTTCTCTCTCCTTCTGAGTTCAGGTCCTAGATTAATTTTGATACCTGATGAAACCTGCCTCCTTTCTGTATCCCTGGGGTCAAACCCATTCCTAGATAACATATCTCTGTAGGTCAAGTGTCTCTTAGGGTCATGCCCATCTCTCCCCCATTTGTGCTGTTCTTCTGTCTCCTTAGCTCCCATCGTCACCCTTGTTCTCTCAAGGCTTCAGGACGACTCCCGGGCCTTTATCAGGACCTGTGGCTGCCCGACCCCTTCCTCCAAAAGCACCGCCTAACATACATTATTCATACCGTGTGCCAAGCACCGTGCCAGGTCTTCTATCACATTTACCCAGACTTGCAGTCCTACCAACAGATGGGCATGACTGGTACCATTTTGGAAATGAAAACAAACCAAAACAAAAAAATGAGGGGCGCCTGGGTGGCTCAGTCGGTTCAGTGTCCAACTTTGGCTCAGGTCATGATCTTGTGGTTCGTGATCAGGCCCCACATCAGGCCCTGGGCTGTCAGCGTAGCCCGCTTCAGATTCTGTGTCTCCATCTCTCTGCCCCTCTCCTGCTCAACTCTGTCCATCTCTCTCCCAAAAATAAACATTAAAAAACAAAAACAAAAACAAAAACAAAAAACTGAATCTCAAAGCGATTCAGGTCTTTGGCCACACAGGTAATTAAAGGTAGACCCAGAACTGAACCCAGGTGTCCTGACTCCAGGTAGGATTCACCACCTGCTTCATCGAGCCACCCTTGTATTCTTGCCCCTTCTGGTTTCAGTGTAATGACCAGCTAACATGAGAAAGGGCTTGGGGTGGGGATGGGGCACCTGGGTGGCTCAGTTGGCTAAGCCTCCAACTCGATTTTAGTCCAGGTCATGGTCTTGCAGTATGTGAGTTTGAGTTCCACATCAGGCTCTGTGCTGACAGTGCAGATCCTGTTTGAGATTTTCTCTCTCTCCTCTCTCTGCCCCTTCCCTGCTCCTGTGCTCTCTGTCTCTTTCTCAAAATAAAGAAATAAACTTAAAAAAGAAAAGTGTTGGATCCACAGCTAGTGGATAGCTGCTGATGTGACAAGAAAAAATTAGACTAACTTCTTCTCTCACACATCAGAGTTTCCACATCCAAGTGCGTGTGGTTCCTTCAGTGTGGCCCGCTTAGAAAGTTTGATACCTATGCCCATCATGTCACATTGTCGGCACCTTTGGAAACCCCCTGTGGCATTTGGTCTTGACTATTGGTGAATATTTATCTTTTTTTTTTTTTAGGGTGAACTGTATCTTTGGAAATACCCTAAGGTCATTTGGATTCAACCCTGAAATACAAGGTAAGGCAACAAAATAGGTGATTCCACTTTGGCTCACTACCTTTTGAAACATTTCTCAGGGAAGTGTAGTGTAGACATTCACGGTTCCACAGGTCCCAGCTTATGTGCTGTACAAAAGATTTCTTGAATGCCTCAGAATCTTGACATGTGAAATAAAGCTGGAGTGGCTATTTGATGGGGAAGGGATGAGAGAAAGGTGGGCAATGATGCTCACAACCAGATGGCGCATGACCTTTTCTCATGATTTTGAGCTACTTTGTGGGCCTGGGGAGTTGGAGTTCCCCTGGCAGATACATTGACTCTCTGATCTTGGGTCAGCTGGGGCATCAGTGACAATCGATGAATATTTTCCTGCCAAAGGTGTTGCTTAGTCTGACTTTATCTAGAAGACACAATAAATAGAAATGATTTCTCTTCTGTCCATGACAAGAGTGTGGCTCAATCTGTTACGAAACAATATCATGTTTTTTTACAGGAGTCTGTTTCTTTGCCTTAGCTGGACAATTCAGCCATCATTCTCAAGATGGCTTGAAAATGTTCTTCAAAAAGAACTAAATCTTTTACCTTTCTCAGTATTTTCACTGGCTTCAGGGAGGGCAGGAGAGGGGCTGGGCAGTTGCCTTTGGCAATGTCCTGGTTACCTTCCTTTCTTTAAATTTTTTTTAACGTTTATTTATTATTGAGAGATGGAGAGACGCAGAGCATGAGCAGGGGAAGGGTAGCAAGAGGGGGAGACACAGAATCCGAAGCAGGCTCCAGGCTCTGAGCTGTCAGCACAGAGCCCAACGCGAGGCTTGAACCCACGAACCGTGAGATCATGACCTGAGCCGCAGTCGGTCGCTTAACCAACTCAGCCACCCAGGTGCCCCTACCTTCCTTTCTTTAAACCTGGGAAGTCTGTGAGATACCATTGCCTTGGACATCATCTCACTTCTGTACACTTCGTTGAGCCTCTGAAGTGTCCTCTTTGCAAGATTTCCGTGACTTTGGCCCTGACTGGGCTTGATTCTCAGGCTTCAGGAATACCTGCTCACTTTTTTGCTGAACACCAACGCAGCATACACTTCCTGTCTGCATCAAACCAGCTGGGGCTGGCTGTGGTGGAGATGGGAAATACGTGACGGGCTGACATTGAGGGGTTGCTGCTATGGGCTGACACACGTCAATCTCTCCTCTTCTCCTTTTAGGGAAAACCTGTCTGGTGAAGTTACTGTCATATGAAGATTGTGCAGTTTATTTATTTATTTTTAAAAATGTTTATTTTGAGAGAGAGAGAGAGAGAGAGAGAGAGAGAGAGAGAGAGAGAGAGAAAGAGAGTGAGAGAACAAACATGAGTAGGGGAAGGGCAGAGAGAAAGGGAGAGAGAATCCCAACCTCATTCTGTGCTGTTAGCCCAGAGCCCTGAATGGGGCTCCATCTCATGAACAATGAGATCATGACCTGGGCTGAAATCAAGTCGGGTGCTTAAACGACTGAGCCACCCAGGCGTCCTGAGATTGTACAGTTTAACAGGGCCCCCTGAAGTTGTGCCCTTGCCTTTGTTATTTTAGATAAGATCAATGAAAACTGTGGAGAATTACTCCACTTCTGTGAGCTTCAGTTCTGTCATCTGTGCAGTAATAATAACTCCAACCTGGGAAATCGTGAGGACCAAATGAGATGATTCATACAAAGAGTTTGGCTTGTGACTGGTACATAATAGGTGCTCAAAAATGAAAGCCATTATCGTGATTACCAATAGTGACTCCAGTTGGATGTGAGCTGGGGCTGTTTTTGGTCAGGTGAACTAACTGATCCCAGGGCAGGCACATGGAGGGGCTGGGGAACTGTCCATGGTTCTGCCTCCATTCAGCTGAGATGAGTAAACATTAGTAACCACCTATTTTGTGTCATGCTTCTAAGCACCAGATTCTTTAGACAAAGGGAAAGGCTTTTATTGGGACTCACAGAACGTCTCATATGTGCATAGGTGAGAGTGTGTGTGACATGCCCTGTCGGTGAGCATGGGACTATCTCATGTACATGCGTATGTGTAGGCATTTAAAAACCAGTGTGTGTGTGTGTGTGTGTGTGTGTGTGTGTGTGTGTCCATTTGGAGGGAATGAATGGATGGGGGTTGAAGTGAAGGAGGGGTATTGCTATAATGTAGCTCACCTGGGTAGACTAGATGGTGAGAAGGCCCCAGCTTGGCCACGAGGAGAGGCTGACTTCCTAGAACTTCCTGGAGACACTGAAAAGTACACTGGCCCCCACCCCATGCCCCTCCTGGCCCACCAGAACAGAGTAAATCTGAGGCCAGAGTGGAACTGCTCTCCTGCCGGGTACTCCAAACTAATTTTCTGGTACATTATACACTTGGCCTTTTGAACAATCAATAGCCTTAAATGCTGTTTGGTTCCTGCAGCCAAATCCAAAAGAAATAAGACATAATCCATCTGGCTGATATGGCCAGAGCAGGAAGGGAAGGAGAAAGAAAGAGGGGGGGCTAGAGCTGCCCTGGGGAATCTCTGCTTGGCTCAGGGAGGCGGGGGACTGGAGGGACCTGCCAGCTCTTGAGAGAATGGGCCTTTAAGAGATATTGATGGCTAGCTAATCACAGCCCCATTTGTCTCAATGCATCCTACCCATAGAGCTGTCACTACGGCAGTTGTGGAGTTCAAGTGGGGAAGAGCTGGGATGAGACTCAGGATGCAGGGTTCAGAGCGAGGGGTGCTATGGGTGTCTTACAATCCTGGATGGAAGGGTCTGACTTAGTCTGGGGTTAGATTTGAGATATAAACCCCCAGAAGTCCTGAGATGGCACTAGGCAGGGTATCCCTGGGGGGCAGGGATCTAGGGTCCCAGAATAGGCTTGGGGCTGCTTGGAGAAACCCACATCTGGCTTGAGAGAAGACAGCATGGCCCCTGCAGGCCCTGCCCTGCGCTCAGGCTAGCAGAGGGTAGGATGTGAGAAGGTGCATGGAGGGAGAGAGGGGGTTCCACAGAGTAGGAGCAAGTGCAGAATCAGCCTCCTTCAGAGCCTCTGCTCCCATACGGTGGAACTCCTAGAAGGATAAACAGCACCTTAGGTGTCCCTGGTCCTTCTGACAGCCTAGCTGGGAGGGCTGCATCCCAGGGGCCTCCAGATGTCCTCCGGTTCTCTTTCACCCTCAAACCTGTGCCCCACTCAGAGGGATGAATGAAAGGAGTCAAGTGCCCAACTCAGGGCTCAATTTCCCCATCTCTTTAAGACATGGTCACCGTCTAGAGACAGGTAGGTGGAGAACGCAGACCTCTGCTGGACCCAGGGGTTTGGGTCATTTCTCTTGGCGATGGAATGCCCAGACGGTGGGAGAAATGATATTCATGGTGTGAAGTCAGTCACGTAGCAGCCTGGCGGGATGTGGGGGAGGCAGGAATGGCACATCTTTCCAGAGGATTATCTGGGAGTGGTTTCCCTGGGGAAGGCTTGTAGGTGGAGGGGGGAGGAGGAAGGAGGTGGCACCTCTCTTGCCTTACGCCGCACCTGGCTCTAGGGAACGGGACCCACTCTAACTGCCTGTCTGTATCTTCAAGCACTGTAGGTGACCCCTTAGTCTCTGGGAGCAGTGGAGTAGGGGAGGGTGGGAAGTCCAAGGAGGGGGGTCAGGGCCGGGGCAGAGGGGCCACAGGCAGGAAATAGGGGGCCTAGGGTGGACATATCCCCCATCCAGAGGGAGCCTCAAGATGGGCGGGTGGGGACTAACTTGGGGAGTGGTGAAGCCAGGCTCAACATCTGTTTGGGCCACCGGAGGCTTCCCAGCTACTCACAGCCAGGGCCCGGGGAGCCTCCTAGGGCTTGGCTCTACCTGGCCCTGCTTAGCTGGAGAAGTGTTCTGGCTTCGGAGGTCCAGGGCAGCTCAGCCTTCAGCTGCCGCAGCAGCAGGAATCCAGTGGTGGCGGCAGCTCTGTGATAAGGGCGGGGCCTGCGCACTTCTCCGATGGGTAATTATGCTTGGAGCATGTTCTATGGAGATGCAGGGCTTGTCTGACAAGGCACGCTCTTGTTCCTGCTGCTGAGGCAGCTCGGGAGCGGAGCGGAGAGGCCAGGGGCTGAAGGTGACGTTGCCGCTTGGGGAACCTATCGTGGATAATGAGCTGCCGATCCCGACGGGCACTCATCCAGCTGGGCACCCCCGTCCCTCCCCCAGCCAGGGGAAGGCGAGCAAGAGGGGGCTCAGCGAGAGGATCCTTTTGAAGTAGGGGGCGCTGGGGAATGCCATACGTTTATGGTAACGATGATAGCAGTTTATTGTTCACGATTATTATAATAGCAGAGGCGCCAATATTTATATAGTGTTCTGTACTTTTCAAAGCATTTCCACATTTGGTTTTCTCCATCCACCTTTCACGTAGGGACAGATCTTTATCCCTGCTTGAATAAGGAAAACCTGAGTCGCTTGGTTCAGATCACAGGGCAGAGCCCTGTCCACAGCCTGGTTTCATGACTTGGATTTCAGAGCTCCTTCTCTGTCTCCCAAGTGGGGCAGTATTTCTGTTCCGGTCACTCGCCACCCGCTAGCCTGGTGTCACTCCGGATGCTGTGTGTGAGGTCGCAGGGCGGGAGCTGAGGGAGGGGGAGAGGGAGGAGGCCTGGGTCCCCGCGTTGGGAAGCGCCTGCAGCAGGACAGGCCTGGCACAAGACGGGGAGTGAAGCTGATCTGAAGGCATGGGCATGAGCCAGTGAGACGGGCCCGCTGAGTATTTCCACAGACTTGGTGCTGCAGCTGAGCCGCCATTCTGGGAGGAAGCTGTGACGCTGATTGCCATCTGCGTGAGCAGGTCCGTGAGCAGGTCTTCTTTAAAAGACATGGTGTGACAGACTGCCCTTCCCCTGCAGCACGCACGTGAAAATGGTGCCAATGAACACCCTGCAGATTCCACACTGAAAACCCGGGAACTGGAGAAGATGACAGGGTTGTTCCGTAGGGCCGCGTTAAACCAAGGAAGCCTTCCTGTTGGAGGCACTTCTGAGTGGAGTC